CCACCCCCACTCATCCCCACTCTCTATCTTTTACACACACACACACACACACACACACACACACACACACACACATACAAACACATACACAAACACACACACAAACACACACAGTACACACACACACACACGCACATACAGGCATACAAACACATACACACACGCAAATGCAACAGAGAAATATGTATGCATGCATAACCCCAAGCGACAGAAAAACAAGAAAAGTGGAAGAAAGGAGGTGGTGATTTTTAAGAGTATCCAGGTTGTTGGGTTGTTTTTTAGGACAACCGTAACTTAACGTTTCTCGTTAATGTTATTAGTTTTCCATCGATTCCCGACTTAGATCTAGTTAATTGTCCAACTTAGACTTTTTCGACAGTCAACAAACTCGTTACACTTACACACCCCACGACAGTAGCTGCCATAATTTTGTACATTATATTTTCAGCAAACTGATAAAACACGTTCTAAAAAAAATCTCAACTCTCCATCAATCTAATATACTTGTTTCCTTCATATTAAACCATGTTTTCCCCTGTGATTGTTTGCAAAACGAAAAAGAGGCAAAAGGAAAGAGGAGTGAGTTGATTTAAGTGAAACATATTTATTATTCTTTTCTCTGACTCATTTCATACAAAGTCGGGCGATAATGGTATACCGTACAGGTAAACATAAGCGTATAGGTTTCGATGAAACGTGAATTTCAATAGAGGAACCATGTATCATATTCCTGACTACAGCTATATTCGAGAAAGCTCATAAATATGGCGATTTATACAATTCACACATGGTTGCATGTGCCGTATATTCTCTGGCGAACGATTCAACTCGACATAATCTTTCTTTTTACACTCCCAAGTTAGAATAAATATGTGAAAACGACCACATGTAGAATCTAGTCTTGTGGAAAAGCGTAACAGTTGTGCAATTATTGTTGAACATTTGGTCAATGAAACAATACATTGGTGTTTGTTCTTAATCTCACACACCATGCAATTGTTGTTGTTGTTGTTGTTCCTGTTGTTGTTGTGGTTGTCCGTATAAAGAGTTTTACGGCAATTGCAGCACAAAAAAGGCTTATAAGATGGTTACTAGAGAGTAATATACAATTTTTTTTAAATGAAGGAGGGATAAGGAAAATAGATGTTTGATAGGAAAGAAGGAGCAAATCACATCAGAATACCCGCCAACCTACAAGTAATTAAGTGTCGGTGGAGATGTTTTTGCGATGCCCGCACGAACAAATCGTTACTCCAGAACGGCAGGATTCTATCTACTCAGTAGGCCTACTTAGTTGGGATACATTCGACGTCAAAAATGTTTATTTTCACATCATGCCAAGCTTCTCCCGAATACAATTTCTTTGAATACCTTGACAACAACCTCGAAAAATGTTACGATTTTGATAAAGCAGATGGAACATTTGGCTTCCAACCTCATGGTCAACTCAAAATGTCAAAAAATGTCAGATAAAACTTTGTAATTCTCAGGTAGGTAAATGACGATGGCCAAGTGACAGAAATACACAATTAATTTTTTTCCAGTTTGAGTAAACAAAATAATATCAGTTCCGTTTAATATCATGATTCAGCAGTCTTGCCATCGCTATGTATTCTTTAGCTGTTTTCAATCCGACCACCTGTTACAGATATTTACCTGGGCTTTCCGAAAACTGAGCTGAATATGACCCTTGAATAATTGACACGAATCTGAATAAAACTTGCATTATCTCGAGATACCATTGAGCGTTCCCAAGATAGGCCAAGAGAATGCAGTCAACATTGGACGTGTGCGATAAGATTATCATCATATACTCTGTCCTGTGAACATCTTCCCGGCTAAATATCGCTCCGGGGCCCCGGCATATTACCCGGTCCGTCGTTAACAACAGGCTATTTAAGATTGTGTGCTTTTGTTGCCGACAATTATGGAAGAGTGTGACCGCTCGTCAAGACCACTGGATACACATTGTGTGTAGACGTTCGTCAAGAGAGACTCTGTAGGGTGGCCTTGGGTGGAGCAAAACGGTCGTCCAGTAAGACACAGCATACATGTATAATCGATTGGGTAAACGGTCGTCCAGAAAAACACATCTGTACTTTACTTTTATTTGCGTAAATGTATGACTTACCCACACTTGTATAGTATGAGATGACCAGTCAGAAACAAATTTGAGTCCATTCTTTTGGTCTAAATGGAGAGTTAGACAGTTTCAAGAGCTTGAATAATTTTTGTTGTTGGTGATGATGCTGCTGTTGTTGTTGTTGTTGTTGTTGTTGTTATTGTTGTTGTTGTTGTTGAAATAATAGATCTAGATAATACCGTGTAAATCATGCTTTGGATATGAATTACATTTTACTTGGCCCGTCACTCATTCAAAATATAGCCTTATTTGTTTGTTTTTCTTTATGTGCTTGTTATCGTTGTCTGTTTTCGCTTTTTCACCCGCAAAGGAAAAAGAGGGGGGGGGGGGGGGTCTTTTCAATTATTCTTTATTTTTTGTTTAAATAGAACTACTAGAATTTACAAGTGTTTGAATGGTAAGACATTATTTTCACAGACTTCATAGTAGTTTAGGAACAGAGTTAAGCAACTCGAATTACTTTTTCTAGCGTTACCTACTGGCGCTGGTTTTTCACTAACTTTGCCTCTGTTCAATGTATCTTAACTTGTTGTTAGTATACTCTGCTCATGTAGCCTTACATTTCGTTACTCTTCTTTGAGTGACAGACGTAGAAGAAATGGCCTCTGGAAATGTTCTGGAGGTTGGAGAGAAAAATGTGCTGTGTTTCTCCAAACCCGTAGTAGACAGGTAGACATGTAGGCTGTGGCGTCTGTGACCTAGTGGTGAAGCTTTCAGACTCGCAATCGTAAGGTCGTGGGTTCGAATCCCATCAGGGGTCCGGTGTTGTGTCCTTGGGAAAGGTACTTGACACAAATTGTCCTCACTTCACCCAGGTGAAAAGGGGTATCCAGCTATAGACAGTGAAAGATCTTGTCAGTTTGTGTTTGAGCGCTTAATCAGCTGCTTGCACTGTATGCTTCCTGTGAAACTGAGAATGTGTCTGAGTGTTCTCAGGTCTGCTGGGGTAACACTATAGTGTAAAAGGCATAGAGTTTGCTGTCAAACGGGTATTAGCGCTACACAAGTGGTACTTATCATTACCATTTGTGTAAATTTAAGTAAATTTATCAAAAAGGGATGGGGAGGGGGGGGGGCGTGTCACAATAAGTTTCGTTAGTGATAATTCGTCTTAACAGTTTTTTAACTCAGGTCTTGGATCTTCAGCGCTTTCGAAAATATCGGCTGACGTGTTATGTTATCATTTTACAAATCCCTCCAGCAAATAATTCTGCAGGTTATTTTTGTTCGTTTGTTTGGGGGGAGGAAGGAGGAAGGGGGGGGGGTGTATGTTGAAAAAGAGATCGGGGCAAATAATGTTATATGACACACAACAGAGGCAGTCATCCGTGACTGTGGTTTGTAAACACGTCTCAGAGAAGTCAGAGCCTAACAGAAGGCCCCTTCCTTTCAGCACAGGCCAGCACCTTGAAAGTCACGCTGCCCCACCAAGACAGCGCGAGTGTAGGAGCCTGGAAACTTGTTCCTCGACATTCAAACGTTTCACGACGTTATGGAACCAGGCGCTCGTCAATTTTTGGCCATATAGCATATAGAGTTATTAATATAGATTCAAGATCTCTGTTTTGCTTTTGACGAAACAAATCACTCATCCATCTCCAAGAGAAGTCGAAGTATTTGCAATTGAAAGAGGTGGGGTTCGCCTGGTTTCATAGGTAGGATTAGTGAGAAAATGGCTGCCAAAGTTTGGTACTTCCAAAGCTAGAGAGTCTATGGAAAGGGCATTTTTACACTTTTATGTCTTTGATTTACGTTTTTCCAGTAAAGTATACATATATACATGTGTTTTTAAAAGGGGATACAAGTTATTGAGGCAGAAAGCTAAAAATAGATAAAAATTGCCCAACGAACGGAAAAATGTCTATTTCTTTGATTTAATTATTTTGACGAGCACCACGATGCTTTACAATTTTATTTGACGTACAAACAATGTCTTAACAACTTTACCAGACGCCGGAGAAAGCTCTTCTGTTTTGCTTTTCTGCTGAAGCGTCCCTGTGTTGAAGCGTGGGAACCTATTGAAATAATTGTTTAAATCTGTCTCGCGAACCCTCACATTTCAGAGACACTGACGAATTCATTTTTTCACTGAAGAAAATGTCGATGATTTGAAGTGAAAAAAATGAATCGCGTCGCCTGCTGGCTGTGTCTCTATGACGTCACGGGAAGGGTCAGGCTGCAGCAAGTACAAGATTGGTTTTTCAAAGTTAGTATTGAAGTTTGTCCACAGCACTGCCCAGACAACATGGCCGTCCTCACTACTTACACCTTGTCTTCTCCACGACACATTCTCTATAAAACTCTTGTCTTTGTCTTTTCGAAAACGTGTCCATCAAATAAATACAGAGGGGATATTTTTGAGTCACTTTTTTCTCCAAGCAAAAAGGATAACTACATGAAAATGTATGTACTCGAGAAAACAAAATCTGAAAACTAAAGAGTTTTATTAATCTATAGTTGATACCTGAAGGACAAGCACATAATACATATATACATACAAATGTATACATATTATATATATACACATATTATATATATATATATTATATATATTATATATTTATTTATATATATATATATATATATATATATATATATATATATATATATATATATATATATATATATATATATATATATATATATATATATATATATATATATATATATATATATACATGCAGGTCACAGTCTAGGAGCACACTATTGCTGACTGCTGCAGCACAGCAGGTTTTTGTGTAGCTTCTCTTAACACACACCAAGAAGTGACAAGGAACACATGACAAAGGCGAAGTTTTCACAAATTAGTCAGGGAAAAAAAATCAAACATAACTCATACCCTGCCACCATTTTACAGATCACACATTTTTACCACGTATACAGGACTCTACAATCGTATTTGGAGTACTGAAAACATTCACGTTTTGATTATTTAAAAAATAGGCCTAAGCAAATAATTCTGATTTAGGTACTACTCAGTTTTGTTAGGAGGCTTCACAGGCCAGAGTCTGTACAGGGAGCACAACCCGTAGACGAAGCCAGATATCGTCCATTTGACGGTTGCTCCTGCGTTAAAGCCGCGATTACTGGGAAGAGAAAGAACACATTAGTTTACAAACCAATAGACTTACATCACTAAAAACACTTTAAGAAAATTGTAATGTTTCAACAGAATATCTTCACCTATAGGGATATGTATAGAGAAACCTTTCAGACTCAGACGTCAGTGTCAATGGCCTAAACTAAAAGCTATATTCAAACATCGTATTCATCTTATTTCTTATTCTAAAGAAATCCGAAAAGAAATGAAAAGTTAACAAAACGTTATACAGTCTAGCAGGCACACGGAAAATATACACATAGCAAGACATGCACACAGCGAACAGATAATTTGATTTTTAGATCTTCAGTTTGTTCATATTCATGTCATATATCCCTGTGCAGTATCTAAAACACGTACACACTGAAATGTGCACATACCGAGAAGATTTCCGCGTGCCCCCGATTAGTTTGCATATGTATGCTAGACTGTGTGTAATCAATTTCTACTTTCTTGTAAAATTTGTTGTAATAAATCACTTAATAATGAAGGTTCTTGTCTTATCTGGCTCAGACTGAATTCCTTATTGGAGCGAAGTACATTGCTTGGTGATATCCCCAAACGGGTGCCCTGCAAATTTTACTTTATCATAACGAACTGTTACATCTGGTTTTATTTCATTTTGATGAACACCTGAAAGTTCTCCCCCACACATGGGAATCAAACACAGGGTCTTCCGCGCGAGACGGCAAAAACGCCTGACCTCTACATCACAGGCACAGGTTTCGCTTTTACCTAAAGCAGGCATTCAACAAGGGGGCTCTCGTGGCCTAGAGATTAAGGTACTCGCCTCTCATTCAATCCAGGGTTCGAATGCGGATAGGGAAGGAAAATGTTCTTCTCTTAAATGTCCTCCTTTCACATCCTTTCTTGCTCTCTAACAATGTTCTGTTGTCCGCTTTCGTCTTCACTTTCTGCCCCCCACCCCCCTAGTCCTTTGCTCCCTTCTCTGGGCTCCTGCCTGACTCTTTCTACAGTCTTTCTACTGCTTCTCCTTGGCTCTTTTTTACTGCTGTCTTTCAACCACACACCAGATCTAGGTAAGATCTACACTTAGCCTTCTCAGACAAGGGCAAAAAATATTGGAGGTCCAGTGAGAAAGTTGCGCACGTTAAAGATCCCTTGTTGGTTCAAAATCGATAGGAGTAGAGCTAGGCTTCGGGCACCACGAGAGCAAAATTCATACTGTCCAACCAACTTGAAATGTTTGTTGTGTCCCGCTCATATGACCTTATAAATATGCAGTTGCGAGCGCCGTAAAAAAACACTTACAAAAAAGAAGACATTCAACCAGCTATATAGATGTTCATGATGGGGTCAAAGAAACTCCAACATATTTTTAAAGAAAAATAACCATACAGTATTTGATAACGGGAGTAAAATAAGGGTAAGCCATGTCGCTACCCTTTGAATTACATAGCTCTGTCTGCTTAATACCCACTTTTGAGAGATTTAACGTTAAAAAATTAGAGTTCCACTACATCGTTAAGCTTTCTCTAAAGCACTTCTATAGATCTAGATATCTTGACAACGACTCCGAATAATATTTCAATTTTGATAGAGCAGATAGAACATTTTGGTTTCTTACCTCATGGTCTCAGTAACTCAAAACGGCCAAAAACCTGTCAGATGGAATTGTGTAATTCAAATCTAGCGATATGACACCAATACCTAGATCAAGAACCCATTGCAACCTGTCGGCTTTCATACCGAAAGTCACCGTAGAATTATCAATTAAAATTTTTTATGACTGCAGGACCTAGATATTACCAAAACTTTAGCCTCGGTGAAAGTGACTGAAAGGCAGGATGAGTTTACTAAATACGATGCTCCATAAACGTGCATGCACATATTACTTGTAAAATCTTACCTGCATATTTTCCAGAAAAGCACACCTTCCAAAGTATGCACAATTAAAACAAACACACCGCTGTGAAAGAAAGACAAATACAAACAAATAATACATAATGTAGACATGATGCTTAGCTACAATGTCTGCGATTTAAAGTAGTGAAGACCAACCAGTAGAAACTTGGAAAGTAATTCAAATTCGAAATCAAAGACAAAATCAAACAAACAAACAAACAAACTAGCTAATTTACTAACTAACAAACGTTTATCCTGCAATTTTAAAGTGATGCGGCCATATGAAAATGCAGCTAGACAAGTTACAAAAGATGTAGCTAGAAATGTTACAAAAGATGTAACTAGATGTGTTTCAAAAGATGTAGCTAGACATGTTACAGAAAACCAGTCATCCATGTCTGTGGTTTTTGAAGAGGCCGCGGAGCCCTCCATAAAGCTTTTTATCTTTCTTGTGGCCTGATTTTCAGCACACTTCCTGCTTACATCATAGGTCATAACGTTTCAAGTAAAGCTGACCCACTAAGAGAACAATAAATGGCTTCATGTCAAAACACAGGGGAGGGTGGGGTGGGGGAGGGAGGACTTGGACAGTGAGGAGACTAGGCCACCTGCATTTATTCGATAATAAAAATTGGAATCGAATAATGTACAGCACTACAACCGAGCTCTTTGATGTGAAGTTTAGAATAGATCACTTCCTCACCACTGAGCCTGATCGCTTTTTTCTGACAGCATTTGGATAACTTCAGGTAATTAAAAAAAATAAATTTGCTATCATCTCTTAAGGTATGAGTCATTTATATATGGTTTAATATCATATTCTCTGATTTGTGAGTGATTACAGCTACCTTTATTATAAGTTAAAATTGCTACTAATGGATAAGCTTGAGCAATTCTAGACGTCGTGACACGATTTGTTCGACCCTGCAGGTGTGGAGAGACTACTGGAGACTTGGTCACTGAAAAGTTTAGTGTGTCCCGCGGGCTCATATTATGACCTTCTGCAGTTGCGAGCGCAGTAAAACACCTACCAAAACAACAAAACGCTTAGGATGTAAATTGTGTCCAGCACTAAAATAGAAAGCCAACCCAAGGTGACAGAGTATAATTATCCCATGAAACAAATGCTATCTTTTTTTTTTGTTTGTTGCTAAACCACCCACAAAGAAAAAAAATAGAGAGGCTTTTATAAGTTTCACTCAGCGATTCATCAAGTTCTTTTCTACTTACAAACGAAATGTGAAGACAGGGTGTTGTGTTGCCAAATACTCTCCAAAAGTCACCAGGGGACCGAAATACCACGGGATGTCATTTGGTGCCAGATTCGCCATCTGAAAAAAAAAAAAAAAACAGCCAAAGAACATAAAAAGTCCGAAAAGTTGTGATATCATTAAGTAAAATATCCATCGCATTCTCTCAATTACCTTAATTAGTAGTACCTACGATATATGAATTAAGGGCAGCATTTCTTTCTTTCTTTCTTCCTTTTTTTTCTTTCTTTTCTTTTTTTTTTTCAAAAGAAAGCTCCTAAATAAGACAGTGCTGAGATTCAAGATTCAAGACAGTGTTTCCCGTTCGCATGAGTCATTAACAAAAATATTACTTCGATTAATAATATGATCATTAAAAAATGATGATATGTTTAACACCAGATATGTCAAAAAACACAATTTAGCTTTGCTTCTGGCAAGAGTAGCCAACTCGAAATACATTATAAGTATTCACTATATCATCGTCGTTAAATGTATTGAGGTACAGAAAAAAATTGATGTTTCTATTTATGTTTTTATTAATAATTTAAAGACTTTTGATAAAATCATGCCTGGCGCACTATTTACATAATTTATGGAGTGTTTATATTTATGGAAGTACTTGACAAAGATGGAAGGGATTTAAGAAGTGACAGAAATTTCCTCTGGAGCCAGAAAGTTGCTACACAAGGATAAGCAGAGTTCAGCCAAAATTTTATCCACAATTAATTAACAGAGAAGTTAGACAAAGCTGCGTAATACACACACACACACACACACACACACACACACACACACACACACACACACGCGCGCGCGCGCGCGAGAGAGAGAGAGAGAGAGAGAGAGAGAGAGAGCAGACGCTCACGTCTGCACACACACACACACACACACACACACACACACACACACACACACACACACACACACACACACACACACACTCACACGCACGTATACACACACACACACACACACACACACACACACACACACACACGCACGTATACACACACACACACAAATGTACACACACATTATGCATGTACACATATATGTACACACACAAATTCGTACGAGTCCAAACGTTTATTAAATATGTAGGATATTCTAATTTTTTAAAAGTAAATATATAAAGGACAAATTCAAACGAAGAATTATTGCAAAAGCTAAAGATTAAAACGAGTCCAAGTTAGAAAAGAGGCATTTAAATAGCAGCAAGAGTAACAGTATTAAAAGGATTTGCTTGAGTGGCCAACCATTTCAATTTAAAGATGCTAATTATGTCAATGTACGCTCATGTTTCCAATCATGCTTGAATGAACATGAAGCCCTTATGTTATTATCTTGTTCTCATTATTTAAAAAAAAGCAAAACACACATGGAGTCGAGATAAACTTAACACGTAAAGAGCTCGGGCTGCTGTTGGATGACGGGGAAATAACCCGGATAACACAAAGTAATGAGAGACGAACAAGGGCCGCTGATGTCTGATTAAGACAGTCACCTGAAGCCTGAAACGGAAGTCTTTTTTCAGTAAGTAAAAGGTTTTGAGTTCCAGAAAAAGCAAGGAAACGTTATGCGTGAAGTTAACGGATCTATGAAAGGTCCTTATTTATATATTTATTTCACTTCTTCATTAAAAGTATGGACCCAGTTATGTGATTCTGGGCAACCTTTTCTCTGTTTAATTGTATAAGGAAGATCTATCTGCGTCTTATCTCTTTTGCGGGAATATTTTGTTTTTTACTTTGGCTTCGGAAAGATATCCATTTTCTTACAAAAGTGAACATGCTTTGAAAACTGTTAAGGCCGCTTTTCTTTAACGTCATTAATTATTTTTTTCAAACAATTTTTGTCAAACAAGTATAAGGATTAATTCTTGTCATCAACAAAAAAGAACAACAACGAGATCAGCCAAGAAAGTAATGCTCCGGCTGTGGACACAGGTGCTAGTCGGTTTGGGGACATATGTGAGGCAGCGTGGTGGAATCAGGCTCTCGTCAAATAATCAAAGTGAAGAAACTTGAATTTTTCCACCGGTATGTGAATTTTTATCAAATTTTTGTTTTTTGGCTGAACACCTTTCATGCCCATTAAAAAACTAATTTCTGTGTGGATTTTTCTAAAAAGCGTTGATTAAAGGCACAAAAATGTAAATTTTCAGTTACCATGGACTCTTAAGCTAAGGAAATAAATAATCTTTGGCTGCCATTTTCTCACTAATTTTACCTCTGAAAACAGGTGACCCCGACCTCCTTCTTTCCCAAATATCTCCACTTGCATTCAAGATAAATGGACATATTTTTCATCCAAATAAACACAAGTGAATAAGATTTAAGATGATACCAATAACTCTACATGCCAAAAAAATGACGAGAGCCTGATTCCATCACGCTGCCTCACATATATATATTTGTTGGTAAAATCTTATAGCAAATAAATACCCATCCGTCTTGAATAGAAGTCGAGATATTTCGGAATAAAGGAGGTACGGCTCGCCTGGTGTTTGTGATTAAAAATAACGATAAAATGGCAGCCCAATTTTGGTGACTTCAAAAGCTAGAGTATCCTTGGACACTGCACATTTATAGGCCTATATTTTTAAAACACTGATAAGAGAATTAAATAAAAACCCACATAGAACTGTGTTTTGAAATGGATGTAAAATTGAACAGAGCACGGATTCACAAGTAAAGATCTACTCTAGCTCCCGGTCTTACTAAAAGTTGAATTGTCTTTCTACCATGACGTCACAGCTACCTCAATGTTTGCCTTACGGAGAGTGAACACCCCGGATGTGTGTGATAAGTCAAGTAAGATCCCCAATGGGGCCTGAAGTAGACCTTTATCGAATCACTCACAGCTAAGATGAAGAGAAGTAGTGGGACGGCAATGATGTACACTGGGTGAGGCAACACGAAGTAGTCAGGATCAAACCCTGGCGCTGAACTCGTTTTCTTCCCAGCCATGTTGACAGTAAGGAGAATGGTTGTTTCTTTGAAACGCGTGGAGTCTGTGTCGACGGGTCTGAAAGGCGAATGTGCTACCACCAGGGTACGTCGGTGGTTTATATTCACAGTTCACATACTTTTTGTCGAAGTTATGCTTATCCCAGATTTTCTGGGCTTAGCCTAAACTTCAATTCCGAGCCAAACTTGAGGCCATGATTCCTCAAAACACGAGAAGTTTATGGTAGAAAAATCGAATTCTTGAATCATAACAGGATAATTAAGAATAAGAAATAACAACAAATTCGTGAAAACACTTATCTAGCAAATATATGATACATATAGCAGATAAACTTGAGTGTGTAACAGTCAGATATAAACCGCTAAAGAATATGTATGCGATCCTTATCTGGACAGCGGAGCTACACAGATCGGTTACGTTTCACGACAGGTTTGTTATTAATACACCTTTTCCCGATCAAATATCAAGTTTTAGAGCTCAAGTGCAGCAATGAAAGTTCAAATATCGAAATTGTTAAATGAATTCAACATAGACAATTCAAATATTCAACACATTAGAAACTTAAGCAAATGCCCGCTCAAATAATAGGAGATCTTAAATGTAAACATTAGAAAAACAAATTCGTCATTGACACTCATTGACAGTTCAAATGCAGAATTGGAAAGTTAAAAATCATCAATGCAAAAACTACGAAGCTGCGATATATTCATCATCTCTGAATCCCCCCCC